TGTAAGATATTATCTACGGTAGCTATGGTAGGTATGGGTATGGTAGGCTTGGCAGGTATGATAGTCTCAGTAACACACAGACGCCATTGATAGTTTAAGTAATATGGATTTCAGTCATGAGGATAAAATTAGAATACAAGGCTTTGTGAACCCTGCCACCCACCCATCCACCAACCAACCAACCCACCCATTCTCTATCCCCACCCACTTATTTTCTTTCCCCACCCACCTGCCTACCCAATCACCCGCCTATCAGCCCACCCACCCACTGCAATGTTATTTATAAACCATTTACATACGTTCTCTTCGTCTTAAGAAACCATTAAACTCCTTCATGATGTGAATCCCAGCATATCTTGGCTCGCTATTACACCCAAATATTGCTCAACGGCGAAGAATATTGCTCAAAGACCTAAATATTGCTCAAATGCCCTGAATATTGCTCAAAGACCCTAAATATTGCTGAAATGCCCTGAATATTGTTGAACGGCCCATAAATATTGCTCAACGTCTCCAATTATTGCTCAAAGCCCCTGAATATTGCTCAAATGCCCTAAATATTGCTTAAATTCCTGAATAGTGTTCAAATTCTGAATATTGCCCAAAGGCCCTAAACATTGCTTAAAGCCCCTGAATATCTCTACATGTCCTGAATATTGCTCAAATGCCCTGAATATTGCTCAAAGGCCCTAAATATTGCTCAAAGATCCTGAATATTATTCAAAACCCTGAATATTGCTTACTGGTCCTGAATATTGCTTAAATGACCTGAATATTGCTGTCCTAATGTTGCTCAAAGGCTCTGAATATTGTTCAAAGCCCTAAATAATGCTCAAATGCCTGAATATTGCTTAAATTCCTGAATATTGTTCAAATTCCCTGAATATTGCCCAAAGGCCCCAAACATTGCTTAAAGCCCTGAATATCTCTTACATGTCCTGAATATTGCTCAAATGCCTGAATATTGCTCAAAGGCCTTAAATATTGCTCAAAGATCCTGAATATTATTCAAAACCCTGAATATTGCTTACTGGTCCTGAATATTGCTTAAATGACCTGAATGTTGCTCACAGGTCGTAAATAATGCTCAAGGCACTAAATATTGTTCAAAGGCCCTGCATACTGCTCACAGGTCCTAAATATTGCTCAACTGTTCTGAATATTGCCCAAAGGCCCTAAATATTGCTGAAACGCACGCTATATTTTTCTGACCTGGACGACCTACAAGATGGCTTTCGGTGGAGTATTGGAACATTTGTATTTTGATGATAACTATGATGATGATAACTCGTAAAATAATATTGATAATAATACAACAATGACAAAGCTGTAATAATAATAATAATAATAATAATAATAATAATAATAATAATAATAAAAATAATAATAATAATAATAATAATAATAATAATAATAATAATAATAATAATAAAAATAATAATAATAATAATAATAATAATAATAATAATAATGATAATGATAATAATAATAATAATAATAATAATAATAATAATAATATAAAACGGTTACCAGATACCACTTACATTAATTCCACTCCTTATGTCATAAGTCCTTCCTTCACCAATCTCCAATACTCGCTAAAAATAAAACAGTTAACTTGTAATTAGCATCCATGGATAGAATTTTTTTACCGTTCATTTGATATTAAATATATAAGCCATTGTGTTGTAATGAAGGGAATGTAAACACAAAAGTTAATTAACTCTATAAAGGTTGTATACGCGTTCGTAGTTTGATTAGCAGTGAAGCCGGATTTGCTGGTACGGTCTTATAAAAACGGTGTGCTGTTGTTTATTAAAGTAAATAAGGCCTCTCTCTCTTTCTCTGTTCCTGTTCTTGTTCTGATTATTATTGTTCTTCTTTGTGTTGTCGTTATTTCACTTGATGTTATTTTTTATTTATTTATTTAATTTTGTTATTTTATAATATTTGTTTGTGTTATCTTTTACTTTATTTTTTTGTATTTATTTATTTTATCTTGAGTTTAACGAAACACTTAGTCATGTGAACCTTTAGCCTCGGGGCCGTATCAGAGGGCTCTCACGCCCCTTGTTGGTCTCAAAGCTCAGTATCTAAAGCCTCGAAGCTCTAACAGCCTCCTGAAGCCTCGTATAAATGAAGCAGGAAGGAATATTACATGGCTCACACACAGTCTTGCTCACTTACCCAATACTTAACGCTATCTGCTACTATTACCACAGCTGCTGCCTTGACACGAGCTGACTTCTCAATTATAACAACCAATATACAACACGTCATTATCATCATCTCTATAATAACAATAATCGCCCAACTGACCAATTATGCACAGATTATTGACTGTCAACCTGATGATTGAATTATATCATGTGGGCGTCAGCGCATAGGAGCCGTCAGCGTAATTAAAATTGCTCATTAATCTTGTTTTGATCTGGTCAACTCTGTCAGCCTAGTGACTATGTCAGGACGTCTGGCACTTGAGAGGAGAGGGAGAGGAGAGGAGGAAAAGAAGAGGGGAGAAAGTAGTAAAAACACCTATTCTCCTGTGGAGAGACACATACCTCCTGTAGTGAGAGCACATATTCTCCTGTGTGGTGAGAGACACATACTCTCCTGTGTGGTGAGAGACACATACTTCCCTGTGTGTGGTAGAGACACATACTCTCCTGTGTGAGAGACACATACTCCCTGTATGGTGGGACATACTCTCCTGTTGGTGAGAGACACATACTCCCTGTGTGGTGAGAGACACATACTCTCCTGTATGGTGAGAGACACATACTTCCCCTGTGTGGTGAGAGACACATACTCTCCCTGTGTGGTGAGAGACACACTCTCCTGTGTGTGTGGTGAGAGACACATACTCCCTGTATGGTGAGAGACATACTCTCCTGTGTGAGACACATACTCTCCTGTGTGGTGAGACACATACTCTCCCTTGTGTGGTGAGAGACACCTACTTCCTGTGTGGTGAGAGACACATACTCTCCTGATGGTGAGGAGCCATACTCTCCTGTGTGGTGAGAGACACATACTCTCTGTATGGTGAGAGACACATACTCCTGTGTGAGAGGACACACTTCCCTGTGTGGTGAGAGACACACTCTCTCCTGTGTGGTGAGAGACACATACTCTCCTGTGTTGGGGACACATACTTCTCCTGTATGGTGAGAGACACATACTCTCTGTGTGGTGAGAGACACATACTCTCCTGTGGTGAGACACATACTCTCCTGTGTGGTGAGAGACACCTACTCTCCCTGTGTGGTGAGAGACACACCTCTCCTGTATGGTGAGAGACACATACTCTCCTGTATGGTGAGAGACACTCTCCTGTGTGGTGAGAGACATACTCTCTGTGTGGTGAGACACATACTCTCCCTGTATGGTGAGACACATACTCTCCTGTATGGTGAGAGACACATACTCTCCTGTGTGGTGAGAGACACATACTCTCCCTGTGTGGTGAGGAGACACATACTCTCCTGTGTGGTGAGAGCACCTACTCTCCTGTGTGGTGGAGACACATACTCTCCCTGTATGGTGAGAGACACATACTCTCCCTGTGTGGTGAGGGACATACTCCCTGTGTGGTGGAGACACATACTCTCCTGTGTGAGACACATACTCTCCCTGTGTAGTGAGGCAACTTGTGGGAAACACATACTCTCCTGTGTGGTGAGACACATACTCTCTCCTGTGTGGTGAGACACCTACTCTCCTGTGTGGTGAAACACACACTCTCCTGTGGGGGCATACTCTCCTGTGTGGTGAGAGCACATACTCTCCCTGTGTAGTGAGGAGACATACTCTCCCTGTGTGGTGAGAGACACCTACCTCCTGTGTGTGGTGAGACACCTACTCTCCTGTGTAGTGAAACACATACTCTCCCTATGTGGTGGGGGCCTCTCCTGTGTGGTGAGAGACACCTACTCTCCTGTGTGGTGAGACACCATACTCTCCTGTGGTGAGAGACACATACTCTCCTGTGTGGTGAAAGACACATACTCTCTCCTGTGTGGTGGACACACATACTCTCCTGTGTGGTGAGACACACATACTCTCCTGTTGAGACCTACTCTCCTGGTGAGAGACACATACTCTCCTGTGTGGTGAGAGCACATACTCTCCTGTGTGAGAGACACATACTCTCCCTGTGTGGTGAGACACATACTCTCTGGTGAGAGACACATACTCTCCTGTGTGGTGAGAGACACATACTCTCCCTGCCCCATCCTGGTGAGTTAGTATCTCCGCCTAGTGGAGTCCCGGAGGGAGAGGGAAGAGTGTGACAGGAGAGAGGGACAGGAAGAGGAAGAGGAGAGGAAGGAGGAAAGAAAGGGAATGGCAGAGGGAAGAGGGAAGTGGGAGAGAGAGAGAGAGAGAGAGAGAGAGAATGGATAAAACGGATGAATAAACAGTGGGAGAAAAAGACAAAAGAGAGTCAGAAGGAGAGCAGTGGCAGACAGGATGGCACACTATGGTGGACTGTGGCACACTATAGGTAGACTGTGGCACACTATGGTGAACTGTGGCACACTATATGGTAGACTGTGGCACACTATGGTGAACTGTGGCACACTATGGTAGACTGTGGCACACTATGGTAGACTGGCACACTATGGTAGACTGTGGCACTGTGGTGAACTGTTGGCTACATATGGGCTGTGGCACTATGGCAGACTGTACACTATGGTAGACTGTGGCACATATATGGTAGACTGTGGCACACTATGGTAGGCTGTGGTACACTATGGTAGACTGTGGCACACTATGGTGAACTGTGGCACACTATGGTGAACTGTGGCACACCTATGGTGGACTGTGGCACACAATGGTGAACTGTGGCACACTATGGTAGACTGTGGCACACTATGGTAGACTGTGGCACACTATGGTAGACTCTGTAGCACACTATATGGTAGACTGTGGCACACTATATGGTAGACTGTGGCACACTATGGTGAACTGTGGCACACTATGGTAGACTGTGGCACACTATGACGTTGGCACACTATGGAGACTGTGGCACACTATGGTGGACTGTGGCACACTATGGTGAGACTGTGGCACACTATGGTACAGACTGTGGCACACTATGGTGGAGCTGTGGCACACTGCTTGAACTGTGGCACACTATGGTGGACTGTGGCACGCTATGGTAGACTGTGGCACACTATGGTAGACTGTGGCACACTATGGTAGACTGTGGCACACTATGGTGAACTGGCACACTATGGTAGACTGTGGCACACTATGGTGGACTGTGGCACACTATGGTAGACTGTGGCACACTATGGTAGACTGTGGCACTGGTAGACTGTGGCACACTATGGTAAACTGTGGGCACACTATGGCAGGCTGTGGGACGCTATGGCAGGCTGTGGCACACTACGTCAGGCTGTGGAACGCTATGGCAGGCTATGGCACACTATGGCAGGCTGTGGGAAACTATGTCAGGCTGTGGCACACTATGGTGGACTGTGGCACACTATGGTGATTGGCACACTATGGTGGACTGTGGCACACTATATGGTGAACTGTGGCACACTATGGAGCTGTGGCACACTATGGTAGACTGTGGCACACTATGGTAGGCTGTGGCACACTATGGTGAACTGTGGCACACTATGGTGGACTGTAGCACACTATGGTGAGACTGTGGCACTATGGTGGGCTGTGGTACACTATGGTGAACTGTGGCACATATGGTAGACTGTGGCACACTATGGTGAACTGTGGCACACTATGGTAGACTGTGGCACACGATGGTGGACTGTGGCACTATGGTGGTAGGCTGTGGGCTATAGTAGACTGTGGCACACTATGGTGAACTGTGGCACACTATGGTAGACTGTGGTACACTATGGTAGACTGTGGCACACTATAGGTAGACTGTGGCACACTATGGTGGACTGTTGGCACACTATGGTAGACTGTGGCACACTATGGTGGACTGTGGCACACATATGGTGAACTGTGGCACACTATGGTAGTGTAACTGCTGGTGGCTGTGGCACACTATGGTGAGCTGTGGCACTATGGTGGTGGCACACTATGGTAGACTGTGGCACACTATGGTGGACTGTGGCACACTATGGTGGAGCTGTGGGACTTGGGCTGTGGCACACTATGGTAGACTGTGGCACACCTATGGTAGGCTGTGGCACACTATGGTGAACTGTCACTATGGTAGACTGTGGGACTATGGTGGTGTGTGGCACACTATGGGTAGGCTGTGGCACACTATGGTAGGCTGTGGGACGCTATGGTAGGCTGTAGCACACTATGGTAGACTGTGGCACTATGGTAGGCTGTGGCACACTATGGTAAACTGTGGCACACTATGGTAGACTATCGCACACTATGGTGGACTGTGGCAGACTATGGTAGACTGTCGCACACTATGGTGGGCTGTGGCACACTATGGTAGGCTGTGGGACTATGGTGAGCTGTGGCACACTATGGTAAACTGTGGCACACTATGGTGAACTGTGGCACACTATGGTAGGCTGTGGTACACTATGGTGGGCTGTGTACACTATGGTAGGCTGTGGGACGCTATGGTGGACTGTGGCACTATGGTGGACTGTGGCACACTATGGTAGACTGTGGTACACTATGGTGGACTGTGGCACACTATTAGACTGTGGGCACACTATGGCAGGCTGTGGGACGCTATGGCAGGCTGTGGCACACTAGCCAGGCTGTGGAACGCTATGGCAGGCTATGGCACACTATGGTAGGCTGTGGCAAACTATGTCAGGCTGTGGCACATATGTCAGGCTGTGGAACGCTAAGGCTATGGCACATTATGGCAGACTGTGGCAAACTATGGCAGGCTGTGGCACACTATGTCAGGCTGTGGCACACTATGTCAGGCTGTGGAACGCTAAGGCAGGCTATGGCACATTATGGCAGACTGTGGCTATGGCAGGCTGTGGCAAACTATGTCAGGCTGTGGCACACTATGTCAGGCTGTGGAACGCTAAGGCAGGCTATGGCACATTATGGCAGACTGTGGCAAACTATGGCAGGCTGTGGCACATATGTCAGGCTGGCACACTATGTCAGTGTGGAACGCTAAGGCAGGCTATGGCACATTATGGCAGACTGTGGCAAACTATGGCAGGGCGTGGCAGGTCAGCCTCCAGGCGTGACGACGTACAAGCGATTATAACTTTGATATGTAAATCGAAACGGAACATCAAAGTGGAGGTCAATGTTATGCTAACCCCGTGTTAACGCCGTCCCCTGCCTCGTTAACCCCGTGTTAACGCCGCCTCGTTAACCCCGTGTTAACGCCGCCCCCTGCCTCGTTAACCCGTGTTACGCTGCCCCTTGCCCGTTCCCCGTGTTAACGCCGCCCCCTGCCTCGGTAAACCCTGTGTTAACGCCGCCCCCTGCCTCGTTAACCTGTTAACGCCGCCCCTTTCCTCGTTAACTTCGTGTGCCGCCCCCTCTCGTTAACCCCGTGTTAACGCTCTGCCTCGTTAACCCCGTGTTAGCCGCCCCCTGCCTCGGTAAACCCTGTGTTAACGCCGCCCCTGCCTCATTAACGCCGTGTTAACGCCGCCCCTGCCTCGTTAACCCGTGGTAGCCCCGGCTCCTACCCTCGTTAACCCCGTGTTAGCCCTGCTTACTACCCTCGTTAACCCCGTTTTAGCCCTGCCTACTACCCTCGTTAACCCCGTGTTAGCCCCTGCCTACTACCCTCGTTAACCCTGTGTTGGCCCCGCCTACTACCCTCGTTAACCCCGTGTGTTAGCCCTGCCTACTACCCTCGTTAACCCGTGTTGGCCCTGCTACCCTCGTTAACCTGTGTTGGCCCTGCCTACTACCCTCGTTTCACCCTTTTTAGCCTGCCTACTACCCTCGTTAACCCCGTGTTAGCCCTGCCTACTACCCTCCCCCGTGTTAGTGCCTGCTACCCTCGTTAAACCCTGTGTTTAGCCCTGCCTACCTCGTTAACCCTGTGTTAGCCCGCCTACTACCCTCGTTAACCCCGTGTTAGCCCTGCTACCCTTTTAACACCGTGTTGGCCCTGCCTACTACCCTCGTTAACCCTGTGTTGCCC